ATCATCATCATCATCATCATCATCATCATCATCATCATCATCATCATCATCATCATCATCATCATCATCATCATCACCACCACCACCACCACCAGCAACAACAACGCGATATAATCTTCGCAGTAAAAGAAAAAAAGAATACGATTATGAACGTGTAACTAAAAAACATCGAAAAAACAAATCATCATCATCACAACAACCACCATCGCCATCACAACAACCACCATCGCCATCACAACAACCACCATCACCATCACAACAACCACCATCGCTATCACAACAACCATCATCGCCATCACAACAGCCACCATCACCATCACAACAACCATTATGTGATAATTATGACAATGGCAGTGGTGATGGCGATAACAATATAGCAGTAACAACAAATGTATAGGATGTCCTGTACATTGTCCAGATTAATTCTTTTTTTATATTTTTTATCCTGCATTATTATCATATATTTTATTAATAAAGAATTGGTGCATATTAATATGAATTATTTTTTCATGTAAATGAACTACTACTATTTCGGGGGTAAACATTGCATATCAACGGAGCAGGCATAAGGGGCCATTTTTTTCGTGTGAGGTTATATATATGTATCAAGGATTTTTATACCTATAAAGCTGGCCCTGGTATGTGATATGTTAATAAACAAACAATCCGCGTGTTATCAAAAAATTAACGAAAAACTTTTTCAAGACGTGCCAGTAAAATTCCTTTTCCGATCACTAGTGATAAAGTTATATAAATTAATACTAATCATGCAAACTCGGAGAGATGAATCTAACAATTTATCCGAAGTTGATTCATTAAAACTAGAAAATACTAGGCTTATGGCTAGAATCGCAGAATTAGAACAAATAGTAAAAGAAAAAAGTATGCTTGAAGCTGAGCTAAAACAAATCATAGAAGAAAATGCAGAGAAAGCGAAGTTGAGAGATGCTGAACTCAAAGCCAGAATACGAAACTAGAGCAATCAGCAAAATTGGAGCAGAAACAAAACAATAAATTAGAAAATGGCGATAATACAACTGAAAATCATGTTTGCGGAGCAAGGCGTTGCGCCTGATCCAAATAAGTAATTCTCTAGCCAGTAGTGGATCTTTCTCCATAGATACTGATGGTCTAGGTTTGTCTTTTTTATTTTTGGCATAGCAGCATTATCTTAACGCTGTAACGACTAGCGTAGTAAGTAGACATTATCCATTGGACTTGACGTTATGTCGGTAATTTCCCTGAGCAAGGAATCCATTTCAGTCTTAAGTATTCATATTCACTTTTCAAGGAGGATTGAACCAAGTTGTCAATTGCTGGATTATTAACAACCCCTGACTTTAACGACATAGGTTTGAATTAAAAAGTTTTTTTCAAGTTTCTCAACATTTATTGTGTCACACTGCGTATGACAACCTTTTTAGGAAATTTATGTGTGAGTTGCAATTACGTAGACCTTTTTGCTGCTATCAGCACCAGCAAACCTATTAGGTTTTCGTTATTGGCAACAACCAACATAGTTAATCATAAACACGCATTGTATGTTTTCATAAACTGATCCTTTTTTTTGACCGTTGCTATAAAAATATGCTTGTTCGTTCAGAACGTCTGGTTGGCTTGTCTGTTTTTAATTAGGAAGAACATTTATACAGAAACTCTTTTACACACACTTTGTATTTCCAAGCCTTTATATAGTCGCAAGATGTTAGTTGCATTGCGAAGTAAGCACCCCCCAAAAAATTCTTGCTTTCAGAAAAATAAGTACCGCTCCCAAAAATTTATATTGAAAAGTAATCGATCAAATATATTTTCGCGAATCCACACTTGTCAAAAGACTGAATTATATAGTTTGAGCGGATATGTTACCATGAACGCTTGACCTAACCACACATCGCTTATCTTGGCACGAGGAAGATATTCCTGTTACAGTTTCTCCAGCACCACCACTACTATCCAAGATGCCATTCTTTGCGGAGGTTATCTTTAAATGCATAACGGCAAGGGGTTGACAATACTAGTTACTAATTAATCAGGATGCTTTCTGGGAATGACATGCTATTTTACTATAGGATTTGGTCGAAGGCTTTAGCGGAATAATGGAATAACTCTTACAGTGGAATAATACTTATAGGATCGATTAAATACGATGAAAAACTGCTAATAAATTTACGATTGGAAATATTCAACTGGCGTTCACTATGATCTCTAATGTTCTCTAATGGTAGAAATTCAGTCTGGTAATCTCTAGCTTTCGGCATATGCTGACCTTATTCAAGTTTACAGCGTCGAGAGCTTAATCAGTTGTACGAACGATTATCGATGAAATCCCAGCAGCGTTCTTAATAGTACGATCATACTTAATAACAACTGCTCGTACAACAGTATCATATACTAGTACTGAATATGCGTAGGGATATAAATATGTACAAAAGACTATTAGGAACAAGATAGTGCCAAAAAAATTAAGTTATGCTCATTAATGGCTTTGAGTTCGAGTATTTGGTGCTTTCACTATTGTTTATAGCGATCCAGATTACATTTTATAATAAACACAATAAAATTATGCTTGCAAAATTGTTATGTAACTTTGACTCTGATTGTAATGGCATCAAGGTAGTGAAATGTGAGTCAAAGCTCAACAAATGCACTTATATTAAATCGCTTTCCTCTTTCTTAGTTCATCATAATAATAAGTCAGTATTTACTTTTTTATTCTTCTTGATAAGTTTCATACATAATTTTTTACTTAACTGATAGAGAGAAGCAAATATAGGCTAAATATAAAGTTATAGTTAATGATGATTATATAGTGAACTCATCAACAGAAAACACCTCCCAATCAACCCAGGTAAATCTATCATAAGTAGACCTGATAGGCAGCTGGTAAATTTTACTATTCCTAGCAACTGGGTTAGAATAAGATCCACCTTCATAACCACCAAAGAATAAGGCACTATGACCAAAACCAAAGGTGGGTGAAAACTCTCCATCATCATAAATAGCTTCCTTCTCCTTCACAACAAAACTTATAATATTTTTTTCAGCATCATTCTTATCTAGTGAAAATATAAAACTTTCCTTAGTTGAAATATAATTTCCACCACTAACAGTACTCCATGCCACTGGGTTGTATCCACCAAGTATTTCTTCTGTATCCTTTACTCTTCCCACAGTAATTGTTGGTCCTTTATTTGTACACATTTGCCGAAAATTTTTTACTCTCTTTCTCATATCACAATCCCTACTTTCTCGGTAAAGTAAGGTCAGCTTGTATTTGCAAGAAATATTTAGCCTACTCATTGCACATTTTTGTTTTGATTCCACAATTTTCTGTAAGATCCATGATGCTTGTTGTTTGCTAATAACAACTGAATCAATGCCAGTCAGTTGTCCTATCCTTTGTGGCAACATTTGTATTTTTGGTTTATAGCCAGTTTGCAGATAATAATGAAGTAGGTCAGATCGTAACTCTCTTGGTAATAATTCAATGTATGGAACAACAACTTCATCAAATTCTTTAGATGAAATATTAAAAAATCTAATATGAGGCATATATTCTGTCATTATGTCTTTGACTGCATTAACATCAGTAGATGACCAATTGCTTGGATCACCTGTAAGCCCAGAAATTTGGTTAGTAGCCCATAATACAGCTGATTTCCAAACATTGCCTTCATCCATACTAAGCTGATCATCTTTGAGGAGACTAATGAAGGTTGCTTTTGGTAAATCCACCATATCATTGGGTTTGATGATATCTGGAGATGTTAGCATAAGCTGATAACAATAATCTCCAAGTCTCTGTAATGAGTCTATAGACAATGCATAGTTATAAACTGTGAGAAAGTTTTGTTTTATCCATGGCTCATGTTGTTTGATCAAATAATCTCCAATTGCAGTACAGAAAATGTTCAACCCAAGCTCATTAGCATGTCCCAAAAGAATGATCCAAGATACACCCTCACATGAATGGGAGGACACTTTTCCTGTGTAAATGAATCTAGAACAAAATAAATAGTTGTGAGTATTTATCAAGATGCAATAATTGGCAGTTTTAACAGCCATACCAAATATACTTGGGGAACAAACAGTGACATCTAATACTAACTTCATACACATAATAATAAAACTTACCTAAGCAAAATTTCAAAAATATCAGGTGTCATATCCTCGAATACCATAGAAGCTTGTTGAATTTCGTTAGAGGCTTCTGTATTTCCGGTTAGTTTCTCTTCAAAATATGCACTCCTTGTGCATAGAACCAAGGAGTGAGCAAGAAATATCTTGTGGTTTGGTTCTCTGCCGACATGAATTGAGATATCAGTGTATTTTCCGCTTTCATAAAGCTTGTCATAATCCGATGAAACGTCAGAAAGTAATTCGACTATGTTACTCATCTTCGAGCAAGGTATATTCAATTTAGTGAGCTTGATGGATGTTAAAGAGATTGTTAGTAAGTGTGTGTAACGTAGTAAAAAACCATTTGAATGACGGAAAATTTTTATTGGTTAATCCATAAGCTTGTCTGCCCAAAACGGCATTTTTACAATGATTGGGGCAAAGATTGTGAGGTGGTTTATGATCAAGTTTAATGGTGCAGAGTAGAAATTGGGAGAACTGCTGTTGTGTTTGAGTTAAAGATGCTGACCTAAATCGAAAAAAAGACAACGTAAAGAAACTCGTTTGTGAAATAAAAAAGACGACGTAAAGAAACACGTTTGTGAAATAAAAAAGACGATGGAATGGAAGAAAATTTGTAATTCATGATGCAAAATCAGCTTTTATTTTTCAAATATTCGATAATGATACATTAACAGCTGCTGCAAATCAAAGATTAATTGACATCAACTAATGCATACCGACGACGCCTTCATTCATTCACTCTGTCAGGCATATCGCTTTATTTTTAACAGCGTAGCCGAAAACATCAAACTAATAACTAAATTACTAAAAATAACCAAATAACCGAATAACCGAACAACCGAATGATTTTTCATTGGCAATTTCAACTATTTTGGGTTAGCGTTCAGAACCTTATAAAGGACGAGTAAGTGTGCGATATAACACAATAAAGTGTCAAGTGTTGACATATGGGCCCTGATCTATCAAAAGGCGGTTATAGTTATGGTTACACAAAATGGTTTTTTTGCATAGGCGTGTTCTCAGCAGTCTCCTCTACACATCTTGGTAGTTTTTACCTCAATTGTGCTAGTAAAACTTTTCTCTACAACAGTTTGAAGTTGAGTAATACAAAGGTTGTTAACCCACCCCAAATCTTTGCATCCAAATTTCTCGATGATCGTCATCATGTGATAACCGCCTTTTTGATAGATCAGGGCCCATATTCAAACCATGTCGTTAGTTCCAGGAATCAAGAACATGCACAGTCCAGCAATT